TCTTATGCGTTTTAACTGAAACATTCTGAAAAAAAAAATACAATTCTATTTTTCCCCTAAAATGTGTTTAAAAAAAGACTAAACACAATTTATAATAAAAAGTTTAATTTTCTATCGTCCATCTAAATGTAGGTTTGTTCTTCATTGTAGATAATTAATTTTCTTTTTACGACTCGTTTCTTCTTAACCAGCTGTCATATAGATTGGAGTACTTGTTTGCACTTAATGTAATAAACCCTGAAATATTAAGTGTTCTTGTTGCTCCACAGCAGCATCCTCAGTGTCTGAATACTATCATCAGCTTGAGGACACAAAGAGGGACTTTGCACAAAAAGCAGAACTATCCATTGACCAGTTTCACTATAGGGGCTTTTCATTTTTCAAGAAGAACACCAGATATGTGGAACATTTACGTGAAAATTCATTTAGCCACCTCAGCTGACATTTTGTTTGTAGCCGCATGCATCAAATAATGATTTCACTGCACACTCAGGTTTACACAACTTGATTTACCACCACAGGCATAATGTCATAAATCATTGTATACTGAATAGATTTTATAATTTGATAATAATACACACACATTCAGCATGTGGGACTGAAATCATAAAAGTTGTAGTAAATTTTAAAAAAGCTATTAAATGGGATTTTGTTGAAAAGTTAATATCTTCCTTGTTCTAGATCGCTCTTTGATCATTAACCTCAGTTTGGCCAAATAGAGCTAAATAAAGATAAATGATGTTTTAAGATGACAGTGATCCACTTTGGCCTCGATCCCACTCACAGTAGACATTAGCTCATCAGTCCAATCCAGAGCTAAACTATTTGTCCAAGCTGAGGTCAATCAAAAAGCTATCTATAACGTACGTATTAACTGTTTATAGGTTTTCCATGAAAAAAATATGGCTTAAATGCTAAAATAAGCAAAAGGATAGTCTAAAGCTAAAAGTTAAAAAGCAAAAAGCTAAAAGTAGTAGAATGATAGCTAGAAACAAAAAATAGTATTAGGCTGGTTAAAAGCTAAAAATTGCAATAGGCAAGCTAAAACATCAAATTAGCAAAAGGCTAGCTTAAACAAGGAATAAAAGGCTAAAAGTGGCGCAATAGCAGTTAAAAGTAGCAACAGGTTAAAGGCCAAAAAGTAGTAGCTAAAAGCAGCAGAACAGTAGAAGCTAAAAAAAAACAAAATGCTGAGTCAGCATTTACATAAAATGAACCCAACATTGTTCTTATATTGAGAAGAGCTTATTAGACTGAGGCTGTCGGCTGTAAACATTAACATAAGCTTGTTTTTCCTTTTGTTTCACACATCAACAAAAGTACTACTAAAAAAGTAAATGAAGATCTTCATCCTGATGCTTCCACTGAACAAGTTCATCATCTCAAAATTGTAGATGTTCCTGTCAGCTGGTGCAGAGGAGCTGCAATAAAACAACAACAAAAAGAGAAATAAAGACTCAGAGACATGGATTCTAAGCCCAACATTTATTCGTTGAACAGTTATAAAAAATAACCATAAAAAGACTGGAAGCCCAAGATTATTTACAATCTTTTTTTTTTTTTATCCTAAAATGAGGTCCCTCTTTCTGAGTCAATTTCTCAGACTATTTTTTTTTTTAAATCACAGGGTATTTATTCCTGATATGTTTCATTTTCAAAGACATAGTCCTTTTCTCTGCTTTGACAAAAATTATATACGTACATACATACATATACATACATACATACATATACATACATGTATATAGATATCTATAAAAGCAAAAATCATTCAAGTATCAAAATACTAAAATTATGTACAATATCGCTCTCATCATAGTTATCAGATTAGTCTCCTGATCCTTGGCTATGTGCAAAAGCAGAACATGACCGGGCCGGTGGGGCTGAAGGTGCCGACACCGGCGAGCTGAGGACAGCGTGTTATCGTACCGGTTGGACATACATGTGCCCAGACACACAGAAAGACCAAACAGTACCGTGAACAGTCAACATACTGCACATTAGCTAGAGACGCATGCAGTGCACAACTGTTCTGTGGTGCAGCTACAAATCTAAAGTCGTACCGGCCTGGTGATAAATCTCATCAACATGAAGTGAATGGAAGGGGAGAGGGAGCCACAGTGAACCAAACAGGATCCAGCATTATGACACGCCGCCCCAAACATGTAAAAATCTAGAAAACAAAGCTAATAAAAACCTGGGATTTCATTTTAGGAGAGACTTTGTAGTGTAGAGTTTGGTTAAGAGGTTCCTCCCAGGCAGGATTCCACACTAAGCGGACGTCATTAGGTTTGGATAGAGGAAGGAGTGCGTCGCTACAGTGTGAGGTCTCTAAGAAAAGTTCACCTTCCTCATTTGTACCGCTGACTTTTCTGCACTGACACCTGCAGGCGAGCTACATTTCCTCAAACAGTAAACACTTAACTCATTTCTAAGCGAACGCTCAACATTTTACATCCCACTCTTGCGTCGCACAAAGACACCATCACTCTCTCACGGACAGGAGGCGTTATGAAGGTGTGGAGGAGGGGGGTGGGGAGTGTTTCGACGTCTTTGCCTCCGGCTGCAGGTGTGATCTGATCGATGATGTGATCTGCTGTGCGGGAAGTGGGTCACCGTTCCAAAAATACTAACAAACACATCAGCCCTGGGCCATTCCTGTGTTGCGTTACTGATCAGGAGCGGCCAGTGTTCAGCTATGGGAGGTGTGGGGGGAGGAGACACACAGACATACACACAAAACAGGGAGATTAACATGGAGTAAAAGGGACAATGAATCGATGTGGTTTGTGTACATGTACATAATGATGACCTCTTTGTACCAGCAGGGCTGTAAACATGGAGGCATTGGCAACAGAAACAGAAAGGGAGTGCAGACAGGGTGAAGGCAGGTGTTGGAAAAAAGAACGAATACATGACAGGACAGAGGACGTGCACTTAATCTTAGACATTTTAGTGAAGGTGCTCAGTTGTAGTCAGTTCACTTTGGAAGAAGCATCGTGTTTCAAAACAGTGCTGTGAAAAGGTGTTTGCGCCCTTACACATATCTCATGTTTCGGCTGTTTTGTCACAGTAAACACATTCAGATCGTTAAAGGATACTCTGGCAGAGAGCAGAAATCATCATTTACAGCAAGTCGTCCAGGTTCTGAAGCAGCAAAGCAGCTCCACACCACCACCGTGTTGGACTGTATGAGGTTCTTAATCTGAGATAAAGGTTGGTTTTAAGATAGGTGTACAGTGGTCCCTCGCTACTTTGCGGTTCGTTTATCACGGTTTTTCAAAATAAGATTGGACCTGACACACAATTGGCTGATTGATGGATGAGCCACACGATCGGCGTGAAATTTTTATTTTAAATAAATTATTTTAAATTATTTAGCACCTGCTGCACATTTGTGCAGTCCATACTGCAGGATAAACTTCCTACTGCAGTTAAACACCTGATCAGATGTTCAGCGTGGGGAGCGAAGAAGTGGGCGTGGCCAAGAGCGCTTGCAGGAGGCAAAAAGCTGAAATCATGACATTCTGTGCCCTTTTAGAGCGTTTAGAGTTTAGAAACATTGTTTAGAATATTGCAAGAGTGTGGGAAGGATTTAAAACACCTGAATATATATCTATATAAATAATAAAATAAACTACTACTTACTACTTGTACTACTATTCTTACTTTGCGGTTTTTCCCTTATTGCGGGTCTTCAGGGTACAGATCCCCCGCGATACACGAGGGACTACTGTAATGACTCTTGGGGATCATCAAGATCCATCCATTATCTTTTATCCACCTCTTCCCTTTCGAGTCATGGGGGTCACTGGCACCCATATCCAGCCATCACTGTGCGAGAGGTGGGGGACACCCTGGACAGGTCTCCAGTCCATCACATAGAGACAAACGAGACAAACAACTATTCACTCTCTCTTTCTCACCTAAGGAAAATTTAGAGTAACCAATCAGCCTAACATGCATGTTTTTGGTCTGTGGGAGGAAACCGGAGTACCCGGAGAAAACCCACACGTGCATGAACAGAACATGCAAACTCCACGCAGAATGGCCCCCTAGCTGGGATTCGAGCTGGCGACCTTCTGGCTGAGAGGCGGCAGCTCTATAAACTGCTCCACCGTGCCGCCTGGATCGTCAAGATGTTTTTGGCAAACGTGTCACGGGTCATTTTTCTTCTTGTCGATTCACATGTCGACTTTAACTGAGGCAGGTGAGGCCTGCAGGGCGTCCAACATTGTTCCAGGTTCTTTTAGGACTTCCTGGATGAGTCGTCGAGTCGCTCTTGGAATAATTTTGTTCGGTTGGCTACTCCTGGACCGGTTCACTCCTGCTCTGCTTTCTCCATCTGTGAACAACGACTTTATTTCAGAGATTTCTTGATTCTACAGATCTGGCAGTAATCAGCTCTGACTGTGGCGAGTGAAGCTGATCCCTGCTTTCCAAAAACAATCTAAGTGGATTTATTACGATTTAACAAGGGGACAGCTACTTTTTCCACATAAGGCCAAGTTGATTTGGATAGTTGAATAAAATTTGACAACTACATTTTGTCCTGATGCATGCTACATTTTGTGTTTACTAAGATTATTGTTGTCTGGCGTTAACATTTGTTTAATGATCTAAAACATTTCAATGTGACAAAACAGCAAAAACAGAAGACGTATGTAATTTTGCTCAGTTTGGACCATCATTAGTCCGGAGCAGCTAGGACCTTCTCGTCCTCGGTGCTCTTTTTAACCCGTCATCACAAAAATAATGAAATAAACCAACTCAAAAAGATTTTCATCACAGTGCTAAGATCCTAGCCTGATTTGGCTTCAAGCAGGCAGCTAACAGTAGGAAATCTCCCTCTCCTGTTAATCCCTGCGTGTAATCTCTAAAACAAGTGCATCCCACTGCACAGAGACAGTCTGCTAAAGTCAGACTGATGCATAGAGTTACAGGAGCAGCTCCACAGTCTCCTCTGGAAAACCTGAGCATCCAGGTGCAGCACGAGTGTAGCGGGTCGCTCTTGAACGTGGTTAATCTGGTTTTGTCAGCGCGCTGAGTCGTCAGGAGGTGAAAGAACAGAGTGAAAAGCCTTCAGAGCGGCCGTCGCCTGATGCAGCGGGAAAGAAAGAGCAGATTCACCGAGAGAAACATCTGACAGTTGACAAAAGGAAAGCGGCGAAGACGGTAGGAGAGAATGCAAGATGGAACAAGACTGCAGTGGGATTTGGCTAAAACGAAGGTGACGAGGTGGAAAAGTGTCACTTGTGTTCAGGAACAAGTGTGGAAGCTGTGGTTAAAAAGAAGCACCAGCTGCTGGGAAACTGTCACAGGTTGCGTCAGAGACAATAAAGGAAGTGGGTGTCCAGCGCAAGGAAGGAGGCCGAGTCACAGTGAAAGGCACATGGGAGGAGGGGACGAAGGACAAGTGAGACCAGACCCACGAGGACGAGCAGGAAGGGTCAGCTCAGAATATGGTAGTCTCGTACTTAGTGCTGATGGTGCGCTTGGAGTCCTTGGGGTCCATGAGCCATGCGGCACTGGCCTGGGACTGAGACCCCCCCTCTTGGTCCACCATATCCCCCTGTAGGGACAGAGAACGAGAGACAGCGTCAGAAGCTTTGCATCTAAACAGCAACTGTTTCCACACACGTTTAATGACGCTTCATGCTGCTGTTCACATCTCACACTAATGACAGGATCTTTCTGTGCAGACTAAACAGGCTGCGTGTGCTGACATTTATCAAAAACATTATTCTGAGAGCTGCGAGACACACAGCAACCACAGTCAGGCCCATTATAGGAGCCTGCCTGTGTTTGACATTTCAAAGCACCTGGACGAGCTGTAAAAATGAGTTTCCAGACATTTACATTGAACCTACATGGACCTCTACATCTCTGCAGCTCACCTTCTGAACAAACATGTGGCACCTTCACACTAGTTATGGAATCAAACATAAGATGCTCTCTAACATATCCCACCTTGTATTAGGTGTAAGTGACTCCTTCAATATGTTTTCTGTCAGCCAGTAGCTGCTGCAGAAATTTTCAGCCCTGCCATAGTTTTTGCAGATATTTGACCAAACAGATTGAATACTTCATGTGTTGCGGGAAATAACTGTTCAGCAGTGTATTAATAATTTACAGCCACTCTCGATTAACCAAAACGTGTGATTTTCTAACATGCTTTTAAATGTATTTGACAACTACAAGCCTTGCATTTCTGAAACAATAATAAAACACCGCCGCTTCAGAGTAAGATTGCATGATTTAGGAAATGACAAAGTTGTAGCTGCTACAACTTTGTCATTTCCTAAATCATGCAATCTCACAACATTGAGTGAGATTGTTCAAACTTTAAAAATAACCTTATGCACAATCTCACTCAATGTTGTGAGATCTCATGCAATCTGTTAGTGATTAGTGTATGCTTTGGGGATGACTCTCACCTACTACCACATCAAATGTTAGCTACATTTTCTGTTGGCTAGGGTCTATTAGCTGTGGCAGCCATAGCAAACTGGGTAGACTCCATTCCAGCCATTACTTTCTGAGAGTTTCAAT